AGAGCTATTGTGGATTTTTTTTCCGGGAAGGCGTCTCTTCGTCCTTGACGCCCGCTTTTCCACAAGGTGCCACCCTTCGCCGCAATCGCACCTCCGGTGCCGCCGCAAGCTACACGCCTGGATCCCCGCGGCGCCTATCGCCCACGGAGCTAGCCGCGCCCGCACTGCTCACGCCGAGCGATGCGCCCTCGCTCGCCGCATCGAGCGGCTGCACCCCCCCCCCCCCTCAGCCTGGCACCGCCTGCATACCCGCAGGTACGGCCGCTGCCATCGCGGAGTCGTGAGACGCGTCCGCTGCTGCCCATTCGCCACCCTTGTCCCGCGCGAGCCCGCGCCGGACCGCCCTTCCTGTCTTCCGGCCACAGCCCGCTCGCTCGCCAGTCGCCGCCCGGCTCCAGTCCGAGCGCCGTGGACGCGACAGACAGCGCGTGCCGGCGGCCTCGTCTCGACGCTCACGCCGCGGCGTGCTGTCCCGTAGGCGCAGCTCTACTCTCTCCGGCTGAACCTTCCCGGTCAACAAGCTTGCGTTAGTCCTGCATCGCGGCACGTCGAGGTTTGATTTCTTTTTCTGTCCTTTAGGCGAGGTTGCCCGAGATAGCCCGACATTTTTTACATGCCTTCATAACCCGCATAACCCCTCATAAACAGAGGACATCTTCTTCGACTCTCGTTTCTCTCCTTTTCATCGCGTAGGCGGGTCCTTTCCGCTGCGCTGCAGCTGCGCAGAGGTTAGATCGACCCCCCAGCCGAGACTGACACAGGATTGCCTCGGCTGTGGCGATTAGTAACTAATTCTCACTCAGAGACGTGAAAAAGCAGCAAGTCCTCGCCGCCCAAAGTAGTACGTAGTCATTCATTCTCACTCATTAATATGGTACGCCCCGTGGGCTCTGGCTGGCCTCTTCAACCTGATCATTGCCTGAGAGCCTCCCCGAGATTATCACAGTACTCAGTCCGCCGTCAGTAGTCCGCAGTAATCGACAGTACAAGCGTGTAATCCGCAGTAGTCGACAGTAATAATGCGCAGTCTGCAGTAGTAGTCGCAGTAGTTGGTGCAGCAGCTGCAGCGCTGTACTGGGCGGATCATAATAATCAATAGTCATTAATTATCGTTCATAACGTGCAGTAGCGCACAGAAATAGCGTGGAATCCGCATTAGTCGATAGTAATAATGCGCAGTAGTCCGCAGCAGTAGTCCGCAGCAGTAGTCGCACTAGTTGGGCAGCAGCTGCAGCGCTGTACTGGGCGCCTCTTAATGATCAATTAGTTATTGAGGCCGTGCCGCTACCGGGCGCCTTACAATCTTTCATATTCATCCGGCCGATAATGCGCAGTAGTCCGCAGCAGTCCGCAGCAGTCCGCAGCAGTCTGCAGTCCTAATTATGTGTATGCGCAGCAGTACGCAGTAGCAATAATCCGCAACAGTCCGCAACAGTCCGCAGTAATCCGCAGCATCCGTTCCGCGGTACTGCGCAGTAGTCCGCAGCATTAGTCCGCAGTCAGTAGTCTGTAGTGATCCTCAGTAATAGCGTGTATCGGCAGTAGTGACAGTACTAATGCGCAGTCTGCAGTAGTAGTCGCAGTAGTTGGTGCAGCAGCTGCAGCGCTGTACTGGGCGACTCATAATAATCAATAGTCATTAATTGAGAACTTGCAGTCCACAGAAATCGTGATAGTAATAATGCAGTACTCTGCAGTAATAATGCGCAGCAGTGCGGTAGTAGTCCGCGGAAGTCCGCAGCATGTGTCGCACAGCGGTCTGCAGTAATCCTCAGAGCATGTTTAGCCTGCAGCAGCTGCATACGCAATAGTTATTAGTTCATAATTGATGATTGCTTTTATACTCGTCCGGCCGTATTGACGCATTGGCGTGCGTATCTTGCACTGCAGGCTAAACATGCTCGAAAAGCTCAAACTCGAGTTCGTGCCGGCCGCCGGTAACAAGCTCGTTCTCAAGCTCTCTCCTGCTCCGCCGCCGCTTGCCGACAAGCAGGCGTGTGTTTGCGTGCACGTGGCACTACGCTTCTCGCAAGAGTCATCCTCTCGCCTTCTGGCTGACACAGGTGTCGCTGGCGGGCAACACGACCGTCAACCCTCCCAGAGGCGAGGCCGCCGGCATCCAGTCCGAGGGCGAGCCTGCTGCAATCGAGGACGGCTTCCAGTCCGAGGGCGAGCCCGCATCGCTCGAGGATGTCGGCGTCGTGTTTGCGGCGTCGGTAAGCGCCACGCTCGACTCATGCGCCGAGGCCTCGCGGCGCCTCACGTTCACCGTCGACGACCCATCGTGCCCGCCACCTCCGTCGCCGCCCCCGTTCGTCATCGACGCTGCCGGAGGCAAGGCCGACGGCATCTCGTCCGAGAGCGAGCCCGCGTCGTTCAAAGACGTCATCGGCGACGGCGGCGGGACCGCCGTCGCGTCCGAGGGCGAGTCTGCGCCGATGGCTCCCGTGAAGGTTGGCATCGCGCTGGCCTGGCCCACGACGTGCGCACGCCAGGATCACCAAACGCTTGCGTGTCTCCCTCGCCCACAGGCGTGCGGCGTCAAGAACGACCACGTCGTCGTGAAGGAGGAGGCCACCATCAAGGAGTCCGCCGCCAAGTCCGCCGCCGCCGAGGAGTCCGCCGCCGTGGAGGCAGTCGCCGAGGAGGCGCTCGTCGCCGAGGCGCCCGTCGCCGAGGAGGCCGTCGCCGAGGAGGCTGCCAAGGAGGTCGAGAAGCCGGCCAAGACCGTTTCCAACACGCCCGACCCAGCGGTGAGCGCGCCGTAGCATTCTCTCCTGGCACTCCTCGCTCTCCCATCGGTAATAATCTCCCTTATGGGACCTTATACTCATCACTCACACTCATCGCTTAAAGTAATAATCTCCTCCCGTGGACCCCTTTATCGCACATTTGCAGGCGCCGGCCCGCCGCGGGACCGGACCGGGCGGCTACACGAAGGCCGCGGCCGTCCAGTGGCTGCTCCTCGTCTGCGCCCCCGCCTCCGGCCACTGCGCGGCCGCCGTGCCTAGCCCGTCGGCGGTAGCCTCTGCCTTCTCGTCTGCCGTTGCCTCGGCGACCTGCGTCGCCTCGGCGCCGTCCTCGGCCTTCCCTCCCGCCGTCGCCTCGATGGCGTCCTCGCTTGCGAGCAGCTCGTCGCTTCTTGTGCCCGCCCTCGCGCTTCTCCTCCTCACCATCGCTTGCGGCGCCGCCTGGCCGACCGCGGCGAGCGGGAAGAGGGCTCGCGGTATCACGCGGGCCCCCGCCCTCCGCCTCATCACGGCCGCCGCGTTCATCCCCGGCGCAGCGGCTTCGCCCGCGGGCTTCTTCGCGCCGAGCGCTTCCTCGTGGCTCGGGTGGGGCGTTCTGCCCATCGCCGCGATCGCCGCCAGCGTGCTGCGCCGCCCCAGTTCGACGAAGGAGGCCCGCGCGTCTACGGCCGACTCAGTCTCGAATCCGCCGTCGCCACCGGAAATGACACCGGCCTCGCGGGAGAAGCGCAGCAAACGGCAGCGCGACATTGGCCTGCTGGTGCTCGGAGTGCTGGTGCTCGGAGTTTTGGTGGCCAGCAGTAACAGGGGCTTGGGACATGGGCCGTTTGGCTCGGTCGTGCTGAAGTCAGGGCCACCCGTAAAGGCGTCAATGTGCCAAGCGCTCGTAGCGAGCCCGTACAACCTGCAGCCCGGTGGGGGGGAGAAGTACCTGCTTGAGGCCGCGAGCGTCTTGCAAGGCATCCCCTGTGCTGTGACCATTGGCCTGTTCAGCCGCGAACAGTGTAGGGGCGATTGCATTGCAACACTGGCCGCGAAGCTCGGCGTTGCGCTCGACCCTGCAATGGTCACAGTGATTGAGTTTCCGCGCGGCCCAGCCTGGAGGCAAGTGGCGCACGAGGAGACTATGCGGCAGTCGCCGTACGACTTCTTCTTCCTGCTAGGCAATGAGTTGATGCCGCAGGTGAATGGGCTCGGTCGAATCAACCTGTACATGTGCCAGTTCCCATTCGATTGGGCGCGTCCGCAGGGGGAGATGGAACGGGCCAGGCTGCTCACGTACAGCATGGTGCTGCTGAACTCGGAGTTTTCGAAGGGCTGGTACACTCGCGCAAACGAGCGCACGGGTGCACTGACGCGCCCCTGCGCCCCCATTCCCACGGTGCTCTACCCGCCAGTGCAGGCGATCGCCGGGGCAGTGGTGCCGCTCTACCAGCGGCCGCTTCGCATCGTGATGCTCGGCCGCGTATTCAACGAAGTGCAGCAGAAAGGGCACATGGTGGCAATCAAGGCATTCGCCCGCCTGCAGGTGGCGTGGCTTGCCGCACCTCCCATGCAGCGGCCGCCGCTGGAGTTATACCTGGTGGGCGCGGTCATGACCGGCCACGAGCTGTATGCGGAACGGGTGCAGAAGCTGGGCAATGCGACCCCTGGCGTCCACGTGCTGTTCGACGCGTCACGGGAGCGGGTGCTGAGCATCCTAAGCGCCTCGCGCGTGGTGTGGTCGCTAACCGGCTTCAAGCAGAACCGAGACGACTTGGAGCGCGTGGCGCATCGGCTGAGCGCGACCGGAGATGCGCACGCCGTCGCCCCGTCTCAGATGTGCGACCCTTCGGCGGCACTGCCTCCAAATGAGACACCGGACATGGGTGAGGGGGAGAAGTCGGCAAACTGCCCCAATCCTGCGGACACGGAGCACTTTGGGATCGCTGTCACCGAGGCGATGAGCGCCGGTGCCATCCCAGTGCTGCTGCACATGGGCGGCCTGGCTGAGCTCGTGCCCTCTCGCCGAGTCGGTCGCCTGGCCGCAGATGCGAGCGAGATCGTCACCAGCACGCTGGAGGTCCTCTTGCAATCCGACGAACAGCTGGGCGCGATGTCGAACGCATCGATCGTGGCCTCGAGGCGCTTCACAGGGGGCACCTTCCATCGCCGTTTCAAGGCGATGCTGCACAAGGGGCACCTGCCGCGCTTCTGGGCGGGGCTTACACGGTCCGTGTGTGCCGATCCGATCGACCTCTCGGTGACAAGCAAGGGTCGCAGACGGCGGCCGCGCATGAGGCTGATCGCTGCCATTGTAGATACACGTGTCGACTACACGATTGCCACCGCAGTCAAGGCCAATCTGCGCCACCTCCGAGCACACCATGCGCAGTGGCGGCTGCGAGTCGTGCACGGCACTGAGAATGCGCAGTTCGTTCGTGACTCGCTCGCCGACGTGCGGCCCGTCGAGTTTGTCAACCTCGGCGTGGCGACGATGACCGAGTACGATTACAACGTGCTGCTCAAGACGCCCTCCTTCTGGCGCTCGATGGAAGCCGACCGGTGCCTCATCTTCCAGACGGATGGACTGCTGCTGCGGCCCATTCCGAACGCGTTCCTCAGATTTGACTGGGTGGGTGCACCGTGGACACCCGACAATGACGTGTACAAGGGCATCAACGAAGATAAGGTTGCCATTCCGACGCTGGACCGCTCGGTGCGCGTGGGCAACGGCGGCTTCTCGCTTCGCGGAGTGCAGGCCATGGAGCGTATCTGCACCGAGCACGCGGCCGAGTCGCAGCCTGCCGAGCAGGAGGACGTCTTTCTCGTGCGCAATCTGCACCGGCACGGCTACAACATCGCCGACCTTGAGTCGGCAGCCACGTTTGCACTCGAGGTCCCCATTCCAGAGCACGCCGTCGACACTAGCAGGCTGGTGGCCATCCACCAAGCGTGGAACTTTGTGCGCCCTGAGGTGCTGGCACAGCTGCTCCAAATCATCTGCAGCGAGTGCGGGCAGGTGCGCTAGCATCGTCCCCTGGGAGTGCGGCGAAGGGGGGCGGGGGGAATCGGGTTTGTGGAGCGTCCAGAGAGTGATACTGTATCTGAACCAGACTAGATTTGAGAAGTGCAACACACACACTTGAATCTTGAAAGATCTATAGATCTAACACTAATTAAATCAGGGTACACCTTGGCTAGTTCCATTTCACTGTGGCACAGCTCGCGTTACAAAACCTTGATTTTGACCATTTGCGCCATTTTGTCCCTCTCGGTGCCTTCCAGAGGCAGCTGCGACCCCGCCGCCTCGAAGGGCGCACACAGCAGGTGGCGCGGTGTGCGCCCGTCCACTCAGCGGGGTCGCAGCTGCCTCTGCGCGTCCTAGGGAGGGACAAAAGTGTCGCCGCCGAAGGCGACTCGACGCCGCTGAGATCGGAGATCAAGCTCTGACAGGTCGCACGGGTCGCTCCTTTGACGCCGACGTGACTTGCCCGTGCAGAGCGCATCAGGACACGGTCTCGACGCGCTCGGTACGACGCCTGCGACCCGTCTCGGGTCAGGTGGCACGACGCTCATCGCGCCTACCAGCGCTGCCGTACAGGTTGCCACGACGAGGTCGAGCACGCTTCTATACTATGATGTAACACCGGGGATCACCAACCGGCGGCGAGCCACCGGCGAGATACGACCCGCAGCCTACTCCTGCTACCGCGTGCGCGCTGCCGCGGGCCGCCGCGGGCACGGGTGGGGCGGGCGAGCGCACCATTGTCTCGTTGGTAAAAGCGCCCGTCGTCTGCTGGGCAGGAGCAGCGCGAGATAATCTGCTGGATTTTTTTTCCGGGAAGGCGTCTCTTCGTCCTTGACGCCTTGTTCCGCCCAAGGTGCCACCCCCGCCGCATCGCACCTCCGGTGCCGCCGCAAGCTACACGCCTGGATCCCCGCGGCGCCTATTGCTCGCGAAGCCAGCCGTGCCCGCATCGCTCCCGCCGAGCGATGCGCCCTCGCTCGCCGCAACGAGCGGCTGCAGCACCCGCCTCAGCCTGGCACCGCCTGAATACCCAGTTACGGCCGCTGCCAGCCGTGAGACGCGTCCGCTGCTGCCCATTCGCCACCCTTGTCCCGCGCGAGCCCGCGCCGGACCGCCCTTCCTGTCTTCCGGCCACAGCCCGCTCGCTCGCCAGTCGCCGCCCGGCTCCAGTCCGCATCGCGGCACGTCCAGATTTGAGTTCTTTTTCTGTCTTTTAGGCGAGGTTGCCCGAGATAGCCCGACATTTTCCAGATTGGTGGGATTCGGGTTTGTGCTGGTCTGCCCGCTGGCGTGGACCTCCATTCGGCTCACCCAGACCGACCTGGTGGCTGCGGGCGCGCACTATTGCGGCCATGTCTGCGGCTTTGTGCCGCGTCTGTGCCGAGTCTGAGCCTTCTATTCTTCACCCGCACTCAAAGGACGTCCCCCGCGTGACCTCCTTGAGACCTAAGGTCTCACCTCACGAACTTCACAAGCCTCAAGCGTGACCCCTGCCTGACAGTCGTGCCAGACCACCAGAGAAGAGAGAATGAGCAGTGCTGAGCGTTTCGTGGCTACGAGTTTTGTTTTTGTCGAGTTGTGCCTTCTCGGCAGGCAGCGAAGAAAGAAATCGCGCCCGCCACGTTTGCCAAGAGTTCCCGTGCGACAGGTAGACCGGAGAGAGACGCAGACGGCCTTCATGTCGCGTGCTGCACGCAATAGCGTGTCCGATAATCCGCATCCCCCCTACCCGCAGCAATCACGACACTTTTCACCGTTGGTCTTCGGCTCTTCGCGTCTCACCCTGACGCGAGCGTCTCGAAACCTCCGCGCTAAGAAGCGGGACACCGTGGCGGCGGGCACGGGCCAGGCCGCAACGCAACACGGGAGGGGCGACACACGAGGGGCGACGGCCCAGCGGAGCGTGTGTTCAAGGCACATCAAGTTGGAGAGGCTGTCGATCTGCGCATCCTCGCTCCACTAGGAACGAACGAAAGCATGGGTGGCAATCATGTTGTCACCTGACGAATGCGGTTGTTCAAAACTTCCGCCACGTAGACGGTCATGCCGTTGGGCGACATCGCCACGCCGGTCGGGCCGGCGAAGCTCGCGGCGGTGCCCGTGCCGTCGGCGAAGCCGTACGTCCCCGAGCCTGCGAGCGTGGTGGTGTCGCCGTCGGAGGTGTCGATCTTGCGGATGCGCTGGTTGTAGAAATCCGCCACGTAGAGCGTCCCGCCGTCGGGCGACACCGCCACGCCGGACGGGTAGTTGAAGCTCGCGGCGGTGCCCGTGCCGTCGGCGAAGGTGTTCGTCCCCGAGCCTGCGAGCGTGGTGGTGACGCCGTTGGAGGTGTCGATCTTGCGGATGCGGTGGTTGAAGGTATCCGCCACGTAGACGGTCCCGGCGTCGGGCGACACCGCCACGCCGTACGGGCGGTTGAAGCTCGCGGCGGTGCCCGTGCCGTCGGCGGAGCCTTCCGTCCCCGAGCCTGCGAGCGTGGTGACCGTG